TAAAATTCGATATTTCGAATAATTTCGAAATTTATTCTTGTGGATTTATAATCAACGACAGCAGCGACAAGAATATACGATTTTCTGGAAGAAAAAAAATTAAAAAAAAAAAAAAGTTCGTTCGATTCACGAAGATAAACTCTTTTTCCTTGTATCGAAGGACAGATTTTGGAGAAGTCAAGTCAAGCGTAAAAAACTTGGTACGTAAAAATGTTAATGCTTTTATCAAGTTACAAGTGATTCAAGTTAGCGTTAGATGAAGCGAGACGCAAATAGAATCGGACAGCTCCATCCTCGTCGCGCTGCCGTGTCATTCTATCTTCGTCTCGCTTCATCTAACTTCAATTGCTCATAGCTCGGTGAATAAATATCTCAGCCAACATTTTTACGTAACAACTTTTCTTACGTGTTTTTTTCTTTTTTTTTCCCCCGCCTCTAGATTCGATCCTTCCAAAGATCCTTCCACGAACACATTGGACAACGTGCACTCCCATGCACGAACAATGCAACCAAGCTCGCTACAATCAGCCATATTGTTGTACGTACGGCTGATAAGGTTCACCATTATCCAAGCAATCGATATTGACACACATATATAAATTCCACGCGAGGAACATCGATTCCATCATCGAGCAATCGTTAGTAGAGTTTTCCCTCTTCCACTCTCACCAAAGAAGTTCCCTGAACGTTAACTCAAGGAGAACGTGTGACCACGGGCCAAGAAAAGGAAGAACGCCGCCATGGTGAACGTCCAAGTAAATTGTCTCCTACGATCCTAAACTCGATACTCCGAGTTTCGAAAGAAGGGAGAGAATTCGATAGAAAGATGTGTCCTGGTTTCTTTTTTTTTTTTTTGTCAAAGAAACGATTTTGATTAATAATTGTTGATAAAATATCAAATTTTATGAGAATTGGCGAAATTTTCGTTTCAAATTGATTATCTTCTTTTAATTCAAATTTTACTCAAAAAAAAATCTCAAGGTTCTTCTCCATGGAATCTTTTCAGAAAGAATATTCGAAAGATTTCAAAATTTACAAATTTAATTTATATAATCTAGTTCAAATCGATAACTAATAGGTGAACGTCCGAATAAATTATCTTCGTTTATATCGAAATACTTAAAAACTCCAAAATTAATGAAAATTCTGTACCATTGTAATCCAAGAATTGGTGAACGTTAAAGTAAATTATTTTCCTCGTTCAACAGTTTTTATAGGGGGGAAAAAAAAAAAAAAAAGAAGGAATAATATTAAAATTGTTATTCAAAAAGATTTTGAATTCCATCGATATCTTTTCCTTTTCCTTTTTAGGATACCAGATTCCACAAGGAATGGTATATTATATCCTTGTCCAGATCAAAAATTCGCTACAATCGCAGTTTTATTCCAGTCGCCAGGGATATTTTTTTTTCTTCCACTGTTCGGAGCCGTAGTCTGCACAAAAGCAGAGAGAGGAAGAGAGAGAGAGAGAGAGAGGCTGGCCCAAAGCAACGGGGCCTGGATATTCCGGTTCACTTAATCGTTTCTTCGGACTTCGTGGCCAGGGTCTTCTCTCTCTCTCTCTTTCTCTCTCTTTTTCTCTCTTCTTCTCTCTTCTCTGCTTCTTCTCCAGAAGAGAAAATGAATAAAAAGAAAAAAAAAGAGAAAGAAAAAGGAAAAAAAAATATGACGGTGCGTCGTGGATACACAAAGGGTCCAGAAAATGGTACCTCTATCCAGGGACCATAGAATGCTATCACCCAAATTATATATCCTTGGATACTACTTTGTGTAGAATATTTTTTTCATTAAACGTATTCCTCAAATTTATCTTGGATCGATCTGTTATTAAAATTTAAATCAAAAAGCTTTGATCGAAACTTGTGCACGGATAAATTTTATTTAATTATTTAAGAATTTAAGTTAGTCGAATTACTTGAATTCGGGTAATTTGATTTGAAACAATGGATAAAATGGCTTTAAAGAATCGTGTTGCAAACTTAATCTAACCCCTCGATTTCGAATCTAAAAATATCTAAAGTTTCGTTTAGGTAACTTTATTTATTTGATTTCGATAAAATTATTTTCAATTTAAATTCAAATAAATTAATTTCAAGCAACAAGCATCCAAAAGAGAGATTGTACCGCTATTTTATAATCGCTTTAAAAAAAAATTATATCAAACTGGTACGAACTTTTTAATACTGTTTCGACGAAATTCTCGTTTTTCAATTTTTAAAAAATTGATTCATAACGTTTAAACTTCGTTCAAAATGCAAAAGTAATGGCTCGAGATTAAGTAGAACAACAACAACAACAACAATTATAAAATATTTTCAAGTTACTTGAAATTAATATAAATCGAATGGGCGAGGGTTAACAATCTCGATTTCGAGCTACAATTTCAAACTATTATACGATTTCGAACGATTCTCGTACGCATATACGAGGGATTAACGTGTTTGAGCTATTGCGATCGAGTTTAACTAGTACCATTGGTACTCGTAGAATCGTGCATTAACAATCCACGCCTATTAAACGATCGTGCATCCTCTGTACCATTTCGCATGATGATTTTTTTTTTTTTTTCTGTCTATCTTGTACAATGATATGTTCCTTACACCTGTTTATTAAATCGTTTATTCTTTATTATTTATTTATTTATTTATTTTATTAATTTCCACCGCTTTTGATGAATTAAATTTTAAGGATGATCATTAATAGCGTATACATAGCTTGATCTGCTTGATGAGTTTGTCACCATTTGTTTCGTGTGCTCCTGTAGCTTTTCACGCTTGAACGTCAACCGTGGCTCGCGTGTCGGCATCCCATAGAAGAGGAGCGATTCCGACGAATACGTTTTTTCCTTCGAAACGTATGCGAAGGCTGATTGAATTGAACGACAGGAGAACGAGAGAAGAGGACGTCTCCGAAGGAGGCAATGACTTGGTTGTTGATCGTCAACGTTTAATGCATCTGGATCTGTCGTAACTTTAACTAACTGTGAATATACAGGGTGTCTCAAAATATAACGACAAATGGAAATCGTAAAGTAAAGAATCCTTTTTTTCTTTTTTTTTTTTTTTCATCTTGTGAAACAGAAATTTGTAAAATAAATTCATTTTTCAGTGAGTGTTTGATTCACGAAGTAACCTTGGAATGATCTTCGAATAAATTTAAAAAGAGAGAGAGAAGAAAAAAAAAAGAAAGGAAAGAAATCTTTCATAACATTTGGAAATAATCTTGGACTAAAAAAAAGAAAAAGAAAAAAAAAAAAAGAAAACAAATCGAAGAAGAAATTAAATATCTTGTATGTTGTTTGATTCTCGAAACAAATTTTAATTATCGAATAAAAAGAAAAAAATTATATTATTTCTACTCGAATTTTTAATTCTTTGTTCTATTTTCTTATAGATACGCGCTCCATCTGGAAATAACCTAGAAACGATATATTATTTTTTGAATAAACAAAATAGAAAGATTTTGGAACACCCTGTGTATAACATCAACGAGCAATTTCATTCGTGCATCGCAAAACTAGATAATATCTAACTAAATTAAAATCCATATTTCAAACGAATTCCGAAAATCTTTCCTCCCCCCCCTGCCCCTCCCCTGTACTTCTTTTTCTTCCTCTTATCTCTTTTCTTTGGATTTTGACGGTCCACAAGAAATAAAATCGACGCAATCGGCGATTTCATAAATATTCTCCACGCGAATTATTAAACGCGATTTACATATGTCGTGATTCGCTCCTTTTCACGACTTGCTCCGCGAACATGATGACGAGGGTGCAAACGTTTTGCTAATGGCGAGCGAGAGAAATGAGAATCAACGTAAGAAAGTAGAAAAAAAAGAAGAAAGGAAGAAAAATATGGTCGAGAGAAATCAAGAAATAAATAAAAATTGTTACCCGTATAATAGAGGCTAGGTGGTTAGAGAGATTATATTTTTTACACGCATCCAAACTTCTCGCCACTTCTGAGTGCTCGGAAGAAGCATGTGAATGTTTATTTCGAACTTTGCCAACGGGGCGATATTTCGAAATAGAAATTACTGTTTCTATCGTTAATTATAAATGAATTATTTTAATCGAAATTCGCAAATTCGCCAGGTGCAATCATAGTTTAAACGATACTTTTTTTTTTTTTAATTATATCGTATAGATATTATTTTTATCGTCAATTATTACATATTAGTGCATGGTATGATGCTCGTTTCTAAACTATACTCATTGTTATTGTACTTAGTAGCTTAAAAAATCATTTTGATATATCGTACATTTTGTTCACGTTATGCCTTGATACCCTCTGAAAATTTCAGAATTGTAATTCTTTCTCTTTTCTTCTCTTTTCTTTTTTTTTATTTTATTTATTTTATTATTATTTATAACATTACAGCGTTCCTCTTTCATTTACAAAAGGGAAACATATTATATTGAAATACAATACAAAAAGAAAGAAATCTGTTTTTACATAACGAAAGTGCAGGGCCCCTTAGATCGGTATCGTTGCCCCTGGCGTTTCGAGCAGCACTCGAACATGGCGGTGAGCTCGGATGTTCTTTCGACATTTCGAAAGAACGGCGCGCGAGGTGGAAATCGCCTCTCGTTCATCTAGCCTCTTCTCGCCGTGTAACGTTCGAATATCTCGCCAGGTTCTCTCTCAATAGCCGAAGTCGAAGGAGTTAACGTGGGGCGTGCACGTTTCGAACGAAGGGGCCAGAAACGTGTGCGAGGTCGGGCAAAATCGGTCGGCGAGGTTAACCTTCTCCTTGCCATCGTGTCCTCCCGTTTCAACCACGAAAACGAAACCAACGGAGAGAGAAAAGGTGGAGCGATACCGTGGTTCGTTGTCGAAAGAGAAAAGAAAAAGAAAAAGAAAAAAAAGTAAGAGTGACGGAAAACGAGAGAGAGAGAGTGTGTGTGCGCGTGTGTGTGTATGTGTGTGTAAGAGAGAAGAGAGAGTGTGAGAGAAGAGAGATAAGAGAACGAGGTAGAATAATAGGATCGAAACGAGCAGAGCGAAGGGGGAGGGAATGAACGGCCCTGGGAGTCATCAGCATCGCGGCTTGGGCATGCAGGGACGATACAGGGCCGTAGTAACTGGTGGCACCCCGGCAGGGCCCCACTCTCGCCCCCCAGCGCCACCTCACGCCCGCGGTGGATGGCATCCCCATAATCAGCATCCTCAGCACGCCCAGATACCTCAGCAATACACCGGCAACAAGGAATACCCATATCGACAATGTCCACCACCACGCTTCCATAACGGGTATATCATTGCAATGACAAGTCTACAAGTCTGGCACATTTATCGGTGCATATTCGTCGATTATAACGTTTTTTTTTCTTTTTCTTTCTTTCTTTTTTTTTTTTTTTACTTTTTCGCTTTTTACATTATATTTTATCATTCGCGTTTATCAAAGGATCGATCAATTCTTTTTTTTTGTTTTTCCTGTATTTCTTACAATCTCTTCTTCTCTTATACAATCGTGAGATTTGTTAACGTCATGTCGATAATACACAATTTATTCGTATAGACGAGGCTACACTATTCAAAATAATCGGAAGTGTCATGATTTGTTATCAGTGTAATCAGGCAAATAATTATCGTAACGTGCTTTTTTGTTCAAGAATATTATTATATAATCCTTCGTAATGTCGAGAATTGCGCGCACATATTGCTATAATTCTCGAATGAATCTCGACTTGTTACGTCGTCGATTAATTGTGCGATCAATCGAGAATCGAACGCTCGTCGATAGATTTCCGCATTTACCAATATGGAACGATCGGTATGGAAGGACGAAAGTAAACCAATTGTCACGAAAGTAATATGAGTAACGTGTTCGGCCTAGCAAGTGTGTATTTAATTTTCAGAACAACCGATATTGAAGAGTCTTGACGATTCTAATCAACGATAATAGACGCAAGCAGAGTTGTCCTCGAGTTGTGATGCTGCGAATGCAACCGCAGCGCATTTTCATTTTCATATTTTGTTTTCACGTTTTCACATTTAGAATTCGTTAATCACCCTTTCTCAATTTCTTCAAATCTAAAAAAAGCTCTTTTCCTCTTGTTATTGCAAATTAATGTTTCGCGATTTGGGAAACAGTTAGGGTATCGTGAATCGTTGATAAAACGTTTCGATCATAATTCATGAATCACGCGATACATATGCGCGTATGCATGCAAAAAATGCACATACAGCTTGCTCGATTGAAACGATTTTGTGAAATTGTTTTTGTATATATACACATAGAATTATATCGTATAAAAAGATATAAATACACATGTAAAACATAACATTCATCCACAAATGGCACGATTAAATAAGTTATATGTGCGGTCTATATAATCTATATATACAACGGATAAATTATTTTCATTCAACATGCAAAATCTTTTCAACGAAAATTTGCGGACTTATGATGCATGAAAAACCATACGAAATATCACCTCAAATTAATTACAATATATACATATATATATACAGTACTCGTTTACAAAATGATTTTCTTCTATACATTACATGAATGTTTGAGCATTTGTTCTTGTTTTATTATTTTTTTTTTTTTTTTTTCTTTTTTTTCCACATTTCTATTTTCTCTCTTCTCTCATGTTTACACGTTCTCTCTTCACTGATATTATGTTTAGCATGTCACTGAATGACAATTTTTTGAATGATTATATATAAGTTTATTTCTTCATATTCGAGTTCTTCATTGTCATGTGTTTCGTGTTATCTTGTGCTCAGGGAACACTTTAATTATGAAAACAGAATCATTTCACGGTAGTTTTGCGATATCGTTATTTAATAAATATCGTAAAATACGATTGGTGCAAATATATCCATAATATGGTTACATTTATTCAGCATAATTAATGATAATTTCTGTTTGTGTAATGTGCTTGAACGAATATCATTTTATTCTAAGTCGCTATAAATATTTTAAGGTTAGAAGAATAAAAATGTCAGCCACCATCGTTATAATTATACGAGAGTACAAGAGATTCGTATTTATTATTACTTATGACAATTTACGGCATGTATCGAATCATTAAATCGACACTATTCATTAGATGTATACTAACTATTCGATAGATCGATATACGCAAATAATTAAGAATTGACGTAAATCATGTTTAAGGAAAAAAAAAAATCTACTAAAAGTTGTACGATCGATGTTACGTTAAAAATAATTCTAGGAAATTTGTAGAAATTTCAGTGAAATTATTGGCATTACTCGTAATAAAATCTCATAATTGAATCTCATGATTAAATTTAGATAAAAATTTAAATTTAAATTCCTCGGGATCTAATAAATTTGTTGTAAAATATTTGAGGTAGCCCAAATTCTATAGAATTTCCAATAATTACTATTTAAATTTTAATCTAGTACAAGTACAAATTTAAATACTTAATTTTACTCTTAACACATGTGTCATATATATATATATTACGACCGTATTAATGATTTTGTGATTCTGCACGTATTTAGGGATTGCCCTGGCGTTGGTACGTCTACCGGGCCAAACGGTAAGGAAGTTTCGTATCACGGGAACGTAGGCGGGTCTAGTGTGGGATATAAACCGCCTCCGCAACATAGTCCACAATCGAGAGGTCCACCGACGCACTTTCCACAAGAATCCGTGGGTCCACCGGCCAATTCCCCTCCGTTACACATCAATATCTGCGGCCAAGTAAGCATTCCTCCTTCCATATTATCTGTACGCAATCAATCTATGTGTACTTTTTTTCTTAAAAGATATATGTACTCGCAGGAGAACACGATGCGCGGTCCATTATTGAACATGAGTCCAGGTCTCGGAGCTAGCAATGTTGATATGGAGTATCGTAGGAGTTCCCAAGGTATGTTATAGTTTTTTATATTGCATTGTATAAATTATATGATCGTAAAAATAAATGACATTTTTCATTTCTTTTCTTTTCTTTTTAGCCACAAATCAGTTACCTCTGAGTCCTGTACAAATACAACCATCGCCACCGTATTACAGACAACCTAGTCAAGACGATGGTAGAAAGGTATATATAACATCACTTCGATTTCCGACACGAAATCGGTATTATATTATATGTCGATATGTTTTTAGAGCGAGTCTCCATCTAGGAAACGTCGTCGAATATCTCGTAACGGTGCCGTCTCTGGTATAGAAGTTCGTGAAACAACACCACCGTCTCCTACACCACCGTTACACACTACTCCACCGCCATGGGAATTCTCAGCGGCGCCCCAAAGGCGATCACCGCGAAATCATATGTCGACACGCGGCAGTCCAACTATCAGAAATCGTTATCAACGATACACGGATTCGTTCGGCTTGTCCTATCCGTTTGTGCCCGGTCACACTCCCCATCCGCCCATTCATAATTCCCATCATGGAATCCATAGTTCTCATCACAATATTCACAATTCGCATCATAATTTACACAATTCGCATCATAATATACATAACGCGCATCAAACGCATCCCCATCATCCGCCGGGCACAGGACATCATCCTGCGCAAGGAGCAAACGGTCCTGTAGTTGTAGATGTTGGACAAGTTGGTGTTTCCGGTTTAGGAGTTGCTGTTAGCGGAGAACCGCTCTGGCATCCTCAGGCGACAGGTTATAGAATTCCTTGCCAACTGCACGGCTTGTACACACCAACCGGAGCACACGCGTTTGCACATTCGTGTCAGGTAAAGGAAATATCCTTTTGTAAATTATAAAAGAAAAAGTCTATATACTTTCTTTTTTATTTCTGAAAATTTATTTTCTTTTATATATAATTTTTTATTGAAAAATGTATTCTATATATATATTATATAATAATATAAATATTTAATATAGTTTTTTTTATATTTAATAAAGAAATTTAAAGTATTTCGCATATTATGATAAATAAATATATTCCCATAGGTTACGCATCATAGTCACTATTCAGCAGCTCACCCAACCCATCCAGGTCACAGTTTGGTTGGTTCGATAGTTGGCGCAACATCCAGAGGATATCCTACACCAACCGGAGGTCCTGTAGCGGCTCTTCATCATGCTCACGCACCACCACCACCCGTCCATACTACTCATTATACTGCGCACCATCAACTTTCTCAACAGGTATACTTCAACAAATAAAATAAATTATTAAAAATATAAGACTGTTATCAGACTATTTCACATCATTGCTGAGAAAAAATATTTATTTGATTTATTTTCCTTTTTGCTTTCTCTTTGTTGTAGCGAGAAGTTGAATTAGAGTTAATAGAATCCCATCATCATCATAGAGTGGGAGCTGCAGCTGGCGCCCCATTACCATTACCACATTCGTATTCACCACCGGCTCTCACTCAAGTCACTACTCCCACTCCTACTCCTATATTCTTATCAGAAACGAGGAACAGTCAATTGGAAATGATTCAGACCAGGACTCGACGCACAGCGTCAAATGTTCACACGCTCAGACGATCAAGGTCGAGTAGATGGAGAGGTACGCCTCCGATACCACCGACTACTTATTCAGGATTTTTGTTGCACTTCTTGTAAGTATCATTATATGTTTCTCTGGTTAATGTCACTGTTGTTTAGAAGAAGTTTGTAAGAAAAATAGATAATTCTCTTATCTATAAAAGAAAAACACTCTGTATTTTAATTATTAGTAAATAATTATTAGTAAATTAGTAAATTATTAGTAAATGATTTTTAGATTTATTACAAATAACAGAAAAGAGTTATAAAATGCATAAAGAATTTCGACAGTTTTAATATAACTTAATATAACTTGATTTATAATAATTTCATCTATGTAATTTATAAAATTTTCCACTTTATAGCGCAATGCTCAGCAACCCACCATTATCCCCATATAGTCAGGCGGAACTCTCCTCGCCAGATTCAGCAACAGAAAATTACGAAGCTCTTTTATCTTTGGCGGAGAGGCTAGGAGAAGCTAAACCACGAGGATTGACTCGAGCCGAAGTGGAGCAGTTGCCATCGTACAAATTCAATGCAGAAAC